ATATTTCAAATCACTAAACAAATTTTAATATTAGCCCAAGAAAAATACTCAATTCTATATACATTTTTTTTTTTAAAAGCACTATTTATCCGAGGAGCAGACTGCTTTGAATTTAACTCCATCGCAAAACTTTCATCTTGAGCAAGCACGAAGGCGACAGTGGAACGGAAAAACTCCCTCACGAGGAAGAAACCTTAGCAGAACCAGGCTCAGGACAAACGGCCATCTGCTTCAACCGGCTGGGTTTGAGAGGAACAGGAAGGAGGATCAGATACCCAATGGCTAGAAATAATAATAATAGACAAAGATAAATATAATAAATAATAAAAGATGTGACTCTTTCTTGGGAAGCTGAGTTCAATGTCACTAGCCATACCTACACCTAACTACTGCCAGGCCAGTAGAATCAAGAACCCACTTAAAGCACTTTCACAAAACATCTCAAGCTGAACTTAGAGGTTATCTGGCTGCCTAGGTGTGATTTCTGAATGGACCGAGGTGGCGAGGGGGGGTTGAGGCCAACCCAACCGATACGCCTTTTTGCTATGATGCGGGGCAATAACCGAGCTGAAACAGTCAACATGTGAGAACGTAAGCCGGTGCCGAGGCTCAGTAAGGTGATGAAGTGATGACCAGTGACCACGTAGCTGTGGAATTAAACAACAAACAGATTTATTACTGAGAGAAGATTGATGATGACACACAGCAACTTTGTTTTTAGATTAAAAAGTTAGCGAGCCACAAATTAATTTTGTGCATTTAAAGTGTTGCACTCTATGTTACCACAGCTGAGTTCTGCTCCACGCCAGCTCCTCAATGCTCGCTTCATTTCTGAAAGCTCACGTCTGTGTGGGATGTGACCGCATACAACTGTGATTTTTGAACGGCCAAAGGCGGCATAAAGATGGACTGGTGAGTGCGGTCATTTTGCTGAACAGCTGACAAAAGAGCCCTTAACTAGAGTTATCTAAATGAAGAAATAATGGAATAGTGGTGAACCTACGCAGGGGCAGCCAGCTGGCCAAAATTCCTTAAAAAGCTTGTTGATGACTCACCCAGGAAGTCCAGAAAGAACCCTGAACATCTAAAGCCCTGCAGGCCTTACTTGCCTCAATTAAGGTCTGACTTCATGATTTAACATGTCCTTAATGAAAGTGATTCAAAATGGCCACAATCACTGCTGACCAAAAGGAGCACAAAGTCCCATTATATTTGCACCAAAAAAAATTTAATTCTAGATCACCCTCAAGACTTTTGGGGAAATATTCTGTAGACAAAAGTGGAACTGTTTGGTAGGTCAAAGTTCATGCTCAATAATCCAGGTTAAAAATCCAACAAAGTTAAGTCAAGTCCTCTGGATGTTTTCTTCTTGTTGAAACGTTTCGTCTTTCATCCAAAAGACTTCATCAGTCCGAGGAGCCACAACAAACTCAGACCCATAAGTACCACACTCACATAGAGTGCCAACCAGTTTGATGGTGATAATATGGTTTCTGGATTCTGTCCTCTCCCCTGCCAACTCGTATGAGGCAGCCATGGCCAAAGTGGTTCAAAACATCAAAGTTCATGTTCAATAATCCAGGTTAAAAACCCAACAAAGATACGTCAGCTCCTATGGACGGTTTATTTTTGTTGAAACGTTTCATCTTTCATGTTTGGAAAGTGTGTGTCCCATTGCATCTAGCATAAAACCAACATTGCATTTCAGAAAAGAACATGCAGTCAAACATGGTGGTGGTGGTGTGATGTCTGGGGCTATGTTGCCGCTTCAGGACCTGGACAACTTGATGTCATGATGGAACCATAAAATCTGCTCTCCACCACAAAATACTAAAGGAGACTGACCGACCATGAGTTTGTGGCCTTAAGCTCACGCGCACTTTGGTTCTGCAGGACAAAGATCCAAAGCCCAGTAAAAAAAAATCCTCCACAGGAAGGAGAAAAAAATCATTTACAAGTATTTTTAAACTCTTAGTTGCAATTGGTGCCACTGAATGGATCCATCTGTTAGAAAGTCATATATTAGATGCAGGGGGGATTATTTTTCCACATAATTCCTGGTTAACTTGGGTAGTTTTAACCTTTAATAAACACAATTATAATTTAACAACTGTTTTTTTGTAATTATTCCAGTTCTCTTTGTCTGACATTAACATTTGTTTGGTGATCTGAAACATGTAAAAGTGATATTTTAGCAAAAATAGAAGGAATCTGTAAAAGCGCAAATATTTCTTCAGAGCACTGTATTTGACATGTCCATTAGAACAAAACACACGATGGAAGAAAATAGAAGCCCCCCCTCACCCTTTTACGCCAAGTCTTTGTTCTCATCATCTTTTCTGTGCAGTGGAGGGTTTGCAAGTGAAGAGAAACAATAGTGCTGACTATTGAGCACCACAGGCGTGGACAGTTTCAATGGGATGCTTGAAAAGAGAAGGGTTGGGTAGTATTCAGGCCGTGTGGTCTTTTCTTTCCTACTGCATGTGGGAAGACCCTCTGGGGCAGACAGACACACCATTCCTTCACCCACAGACAGTCGCACAGAGGCAATGCAGGCGGGTGAGGAGGGAGGGGTGAGGGAGCACAAACAGAGAAACTTTTCATGAAGGAGGAATAAATCTAGACTAGAGGGTTGGTGTGTGTGTGTGTGGGGGGGGGGGGGGTAAATGAGATGTGGGTTCATTTGCTACTGCCCTAACAATGCTGATGAGAATCAAACCCTTTCTCACATCTACAGCTGTGCAAGAGCAGAGGTACATCAACCTAAAGGCCTAGAGTTTCTTGAAGGAATGCACGTCACCCACCACCTGTCAGCTTTAGCCCACGATCATCTTATGTTGAAACATGACGGAGATGTACTGCAGCTGTTTTGGTGAAACTTTGAAAATAAAGTTATGCGCTGCATCCTCATGAGATATTGCAAGATGTTGCTCTCTTTGCGTAGTTATTGACTCTCAGCTACTACCACAACAAAACTTTGCTCAGTATACCAAAGTTCATGCTCAATAATCCCGGTGCAAACCCAACAATGTTCAGTCAGGTCATCTGGATGGTTTTTTTCTTTCTTTTTTTTTCTGAGACGCTTCGTTCTTCATCCAAAGGACTTTTTCAGTGCAAGGAGCCACAAACAAACTGGAGTCCTACAAGCACCAACTCCCATAGTGGAAAAAAAAAACCAGTTTACTGGTGATAAGATGGTTGCTGAGCTCAGTATCAGTAAAATTCCCTCAATTTCAGTCATTTTTCTGTTTACTAAGAGAAAGAGGGCTGGAAATGGAGGAGGGGCATACCAAAGAGACCATCTTATCACAAGCAGAACTGGTTTGTTCCACTTTGGAGTAAGCTGTTGACTGATTTTTGTTGTGCGTTTCCTTGACTGATGAAGCCTTCTGGATCGAAGGCAAAACGTTTCAGCACAAAAAAAAAAAAAAAACTGTCCAGATGACCTGACTGAAAAATGTTGGATTTTATACCTGGATTATTGAGCATGCACTTTGTTGTTTACTAAGTAAACAGGTCTCTCTTGTAAATGAGTCCTCGTGACTCGATGAGACTAACCGGGTAAATAAAGGTTGAATGAATTTAGCTGTGGTGTCCAGCTAGAATTGGGTTGGCTCAAAACGTTAATCAGTTGTAGAGGTACAGACTAGTACATCCAGTGTGTTTTATTCAAATCCAATTGCCAAAACAACATAAGTATGAGACGTATGGTAATCAACAAGACAAAAAAAACAAACATATTATTATTATAATTATTATTGTTGCCATGTTTAAAGACCTATCCATCTTTATTTTTTGGTTTAGAGTGGGTTATAACATTTGTCCCCACACATGCTCTCTCTTTGCTATCGGTAGTTTGACGAGTCAAACGTGTCAGTACGGTAATGATGACTCTCCGGTCATATAAACGTGTGCAAACGCATCAGGAGGCGTACGTCTCACTTAGTTCTGTACACATTTAACACAACAGTAAATTTTAGATACAACAAGTCTCAGAGAGGTCAGGGTTGCATCCAGATGTTTATTCATTTAATACATGCCATGACCTTCATGGAGGGGCAGACGGAGCCATTGGGGGGGTGGGATGCCCCCCTTGGATAATGTTAGGGATAACGTTTACATTTAATGATCATTTTGGGGGGTATTTCATTAAAAGCAGTCCACTGGTACAAGAGATATTTTGCTAGCATTACAAATGCAGGGCAAAACAACTATTGTCTTTTGCTGGTGGGCGATAACGAGGCATTACTGGAGTTTCTTTACACAGTTTTTCAAATGAAGGTTACTATTTTATGATATATATTCTGCTTTTAACCAAAAGATGGTTTTATGAGTGTCAGCTGGTAAAACACAAAGCTAAAGTCAGAAAAATGATCTAAATTCGTTTTTTTTTTTTTTAAAGAACATGTCAAGTAAGGCCTTCTAGGCTCTGACTAAACTGCAGATCACTGGTTAGGCTTTTCATCAAACTAACTTGACACCTACAATAAACCTGTAAAATGTACAATGAAGCCATGACCGGAACACATAAAATACAAATAAGCACAGGAGCAGAATAAAAAGTGGTGTATTTAAGTATTAACACATTCAATTTGTCATCAGCCATCATTTTACCTGAAATTCTAAAACTTTTTTTGTTTTTTTTTTGTCAAACTACTCTAAACCCGAGCCCTCTTAAATCAAAGATGGTTCAAACTAACAACTTTATGAACCGATTTAAAACTTTTTTACACCACATTAAACCACTGCCTTTAACTCCCAAACAAGCTCATCTGATATGTAAAACCTTAGTTATAGCTAAAAACAAAAACTGGATTACAACTTCCACACTTAGCGACTTATAAAGCAAAATAAACCGCAAAAATTAAACTTTAACTTGTAGCTTTTTAGACATTTAAGCTAGCTTGACCGGTTAAACCGGTTGTTGTTTCCCACTTTCTCCCATCACTCTTCTTCAGCTTCACAGTTAAAAAAAAGTTAAAAAGACACCGTGGACTCACCCAGAAGATAATGTTGAACCCAAATAAGAAGTATTTCACGCAGCAGCTGACCTCGGCTCCTTTCATGTGGTGTTTCCTGCTCATTCTTCCAGACATTTGTTTCTCAGGGACGGGGTCGGCACTTCGGCGGCTCAGCTAAAGCTACAGTTCTCAAACTCCTCTCGTCAAAGTTAGTTGTCTCCATGAGCTAAAACAGCACCTGGTTTGCTCACCGGGTGGTTTAGGACAGGGTAAAGTTCACCATAACTAACCGGTTTAGTGTCTCTGGCGCTCACCATCCGGCTGCAGGGCCAGCTAGCTCCAACTTCTCCAGTTAGCATCAGCGGCTAACAACAACAAATCGGCTGAGACCAAACTGAGTCCATCTGTCGACGTTCAGCCTGGTCTTTATTCCCCCCAGTCAAGCAGCTCGTCGAGTTAAAACTTGTGGTCTTCCAGTGTAGCATCTATCTCCCTGCATCGCTGGTAAGAGGCTTCACCTTTGTTTTTCTTTTTCTCTTTTTTTCCCCCCTTGTAAAGCAAAGCCCCTTTGCCTTGCTGTCAAACCCACAGAGCTGCCTTTCGCCCTTTTCACCTCAAGAGCGGCCTCTTGTGTCTCACCGGTGGGTTTTTACTGAAATCCCATCCATCCATTACCTTTACCTCTTCTTCAAAGCTTCCATTTCTTTCTAAAATCTTGGAGAAAATAGTTTTTTAGTCAACTAACCAAGTTTTTGAATGCAAATAGAATTTTTGAGATTTTTCAGTCAGGATTTAAACAACTGCACAGCACCAAGACAGTTTTATTAAGGGTCTGTAATGACATTCTGCTAGCGAATGACTCTGGTCCGTCTGTGATCCTGGTACTCCTCGACCTTACCGCTGCATTCGACACTGTTGATCACAACATCCTTATGTCATGGTTAGAACACTGGGTTGGGATTACAGGTGTGGCGCTAGAATGGTTCCGTTCGTATCTGGGTGACAGGAGTTTTTGTGTTAACTTTGGCAATCATTTATCTGCTTCTGTCCCTCTTTCCTGTGGGGTCCCGCAAGGCTCCATTCTTGGACCCCTTCTGTTCTCATTGTATCTGCTCCCCTTCCCATCCTGAGGAAACATGGTATTTCATTTCATTGTTACGCCAATGATTCTCAGATTTATCTGCCTTTAAAACCTGACAGTTCCTGCTTCATTCACCCTTTGCTAAAATGTCTTGATGACATCAAGACTTGGATGGCTGCGAGCTTCTTGAGTTTTATTGATCAGAAAACTGAGGTCAACGTGTTTAACCCAATCTCTACCGCAGTCACTGATCCTGTAAACCTGCACTCCCTTCAGCCACATTTAAAGCAGTTAGTTACCAATCTCGGGGTAGTGTTAGACTCGAACTCGGAGTTTTGGCTGTCAGCAGCAAACTGGTTGATCCACTATGAGAATGTGATATTTATAAGACTGAGCTGAATACAGCACCTCAGACTGAAGAAGTCTTTCGGATGAAAGACGAAACGTTTCTACTTTTTTTTGTCTGTTTGTTTGTTTGTTTGTTTGTTTGTTTTTTGAATGTCTAGAGGACCAGACTTAACCTTTTTAGATTTTTCTACCTGGATTATTGAGCATGCATCAGGATGTTTCTAATTATGCTTTCTGTTTTATATTTTTATTCCATGTGCTGTAAATATATCTTTTTACTTTTTATTTGATGTTGTGATATTTTTAAGTACTTTGGTAACAGTTTCTCTTTTAAATGTGCTCTATAAATAAATCTGACTTGACTTGACTTCTTCCTTTTTTGGGTCGCGGGGGTCACTGGTGTCCATATCCAGCCTTCACTGTGTGGGAGTCGGGGGACACCCTGGACAGGTCTCCAGTCCATCCCAGGGACATCATAGAGACAAACGAGACAAACAACCATTCACGCTCTCACCCAGCTAAAGCACTTAAATCAGCCTGTTTTAACTTTTACTCCTCTGACTCCGAGCACATAGATAATAAAAATAAGCTATACATTAGTTTAGTTACAGGTTATCAGTTGTTTAATCTAGGAGTTACCAGAACAAAGTCAGGGGGGTTTCAGTCCATGTTCTTGAAGTGTTCTGTACCATAACAGCTGTGCTTACTAGGGATGCACGATATTATCGGCATGGTATCGGTATCGTCCGATATTACAGTTAAAGTTAAATATCGGATATCGGCCATTCCATCAAAATAACTCACTGATATAAAAGACGCTGTTTTTGTATGACAACCCAGTGACAAGGATGCCTGTAGTGCCAGCACAACATGATGACGTCACGCGCACCTACCTGAACTCATGGCGGAGAGGAAAATTCTAAATGTCGGCGATGTGGAAGTTTTTTTCGTTGAGGATGTCGGATTCCGAAGATTTCTGGACTACGTTGAACCTCGCTACATCGTCCCCAGTCAGAGATATTTTTCCAATGTAACCTTAACCGAGTTACAAGACGTCATTTCCGACGTCATTGAGAAGCTAATAGCCGATAGCACTTAGCTGAGTTTTACCACAGACATTTGGACGTCATGTTAGCCTCGTTAGCATGATTAGTCTTACGGCACAATGGATAGACAAAACCTTTGAACTTAAAAAGGCTGTCCTTCATGCACAAGAGTGCAGAGGATCCCACACTGCAGCTAGGAACCTGGAACAAGCCTCCACAAGTGAGACAGCATCACAGGTGACTAATACTAATAAATAACATTTAGCACTTTTCACTTAATTTAAGTTAAAGTGCTATGCATATCATATGGCTGTTACTGAATATATGTCACCAGCTCTTATAGTTGTTACACAATTTTTGTATAAGCCTAAATAAGCGGGCTATGTACTGACAAAGGAAAGTAAATAAAATATCAGTATCCGTATCGTTTCTCGGCCAAATAAGTTTTAACATATCGGATATTGTCCAAAAATTAAATATTGTTCATCCATAGTGCTTACCATCATCCATCCTTTTATCTTTTACCCACTTTTTCCTTTTCAGTTTGCGAGGGTCACTGGTCCTCATGTCCATCAGTCACTGTGGGAGAGGCGGTGGACACCCTGGACAGGTCTCCAGTCCATCACAAGGACATCATAAAGACAAACAACCATTCACTCTCACTCACACCTAGGAACAATTTAGTTATCAATTAACCTAACATGCATGTTTTTGGTCTGTGGGAGAAAACCTACACATGCATGAAGAGAACATGCAAGCTAAGGCCCACTGGCTGGGATTTGATCTGGCGACCTTCTCACCGAGAGGCAACAGCTCTACCAGCTGAGCCACAGTGTTGCCCTAATTATTACATAAACTAAAGTCCAGCTTTCAAATACACAAACCATAAACTGAAAGTTGTTATTGTCCATTGGTGTCAAAAGGGCAATAATGCTTTTTTGCAAAGTCTGTAATTGTGTTTCTGTGTCTGTAGTGTTAGCAAAATATGTCATAAATCAGTGTTATTTGAACCTTAAGGAAATTAATCTTCAACTGAATAACTCCGAGTCAGCCCTATCCAAAATGGCTGCCACAGATAATCAAACTTAGCCAACGTAAACATGGCTATAACTCAGATGTCTTTGCATAAATTGAGCTGAAATTTGTTGTGGTAGTAGCTTAGAGTCATTCTCATTACATGCTCTGAGCACTAATAGATCGCACAATTTTTCTTGAGCTTGCACACGTCATTTACAAGGTTTCACTAAAGAAGCTATAACTTATTGTCATAAAATGATCTTGCTTTAACATGTTGGCATAAAAGGTTGTAGCACAGATGATTCGTGTTCCCTCAAGGAAATGTTATTTACTGTGACCAAAAATGGTCAAAGTTTTGATTTATACACAAACATTTGTATTACTTTTGAACCTGCAAAACAGAACTGTAAAACAGCTGAGTATTGTGTTTTTTATAATTTATTTACAACACAAGGACTGACAATAATTTTTACTGAATGTCAAACTGTTCCTTGAAACTTACACATAAGTACCTGTTTGAGAAATAAAATTAATATTCATAGTTTGCTAAATGAAGCTATAATTACTTTCATTATTTGCACTTCGTATAAGGTCATGTTTTGGTATTAAAGATATAAAAGGCTGTATCATTCAGCCTAATAATAATTGTCCTTTCAATGAATCGTTTTTTTTTTTTTTTTATGGAAAAACAAAAAAGTTTAACATCATAATAAATGATCTGAGATATTTTGAAAGGTCGACACCCCTGCAGAATTTGTTCCAACAAATTTGAACTTCTGTCTGGAGTCCTACAGATGGCAGTCTATGAACCTGTGATAAATGCTCTTTTACTTTCATAGAGCTGCGTTTAGGGACATGCCACTCCCAAAATCATTCCCAAAGATCTGATGAACTGACAGTAAACGCAGCCCAAGACTGTACAAATCAAGCAAACAAGCCCAGATGTGACGATTTATCTTACACATGTCATTACAGTGAGCCAGAACAATCAATATGCATAATTATTGGTAAAATAACATTAACCAGGAAAGAACATAAAATTTCTTTCAGTGTTTTTTTATTTATCAGACTTTTATGGATGTGACCTATATGCACTTTAAAGTACGTCTTAAATATCAGGCCCGAGGGCCAAATATGGATCTTGTTAACATCTTATCTGATTCCCAAGATATTTTAAAAGTAAAATAGTTTTGTTGCTTCTCATTTTACTTAAAAACAGTGCATTCTTTTTTAGTGCAAAGTGCAGACTTCCTATGACTTGACTTTTAAGCCAAGAATTTTTTGTTTGAATTGTTCTTCTTTTATTTGGATGCAGAAAAAGCAGCAGAGAATGTCAAATGGGACCAATGAGACCCTTGTTGAGGAACCTACAACCATGAAAAGATTACAGGTGTTTGAATGGAGTGTATTAACTGAAACTGGCCCTCGATCTGAAACAAGTATTTAATTTTGGCTCTCTTTTGTTACTGAGTTTGACACAACTGCTTTATAGCAACTTTTTTACAAAAGTCTGGGTCAGTACAGACTACATTTTTTTATCACACAATTGAAATAAAGGGATTAATAAAGTGACTTTAGGCTCCAGATTACACCTTCTCTGTACATGATTGCAATAGTACATTGACCTGTAATAATATGCCGTTTTAATTAAATGTATACTTTTTCAGTTTTAAAGATTTATTGGTGCAAGACATAAAAAACTAGAGAAATTGCATTTCCTGTAAAAATGCAGTTTGAATGCTTATTGCTGAAGAACAGCTAAAATTAGCAAAATAAAAACCATGCTGAAATATAGTTGAAATAGAAGAACAAGCCTAAGTTAGCAGAAGAAAGCAGAAAGAACAGGTTTGCTGAATTAAGTTTAAATAAGCAGAAATTAAAAATTAGAAATTAGCTAAAAAAAAAAAAGAAGAAGAAGCTGACATTAGCAAAAATGTAGTTGAAAAGTCAGAAAGAAGCTTAGACTACCAGAAGGAAACAGAAAGAGCTGAAATAAGCTAAAAGAAAATGTTGAATTAACTGAAAAAGTTAAAATTAGCATAAAATAGCTAAGTAGTAGCTGAAATAGCAGAAAAAAGCTAAAACTAACAGAAATAGACTGAAAGGAGCATAACAAGCAGAAAT